AGGGTTCTCCGGGTTTAGGCGCGGGTTTAGGCGCGGGTTTAGGCCCGGCTTTGGAGGGCGGAGGGATCGCGGGAGTTGATCCCGAGTCGCCCGCGCTGCCGGAGCTGAGGCTGAGCCCGGCTGAGCCCGGCTTAGAGGTGGCCCCGGGATTTTCTCCGGTAGCCCAGGGATTTTCTCCGGTAGCCCGGGAATTTTCTCCGGTAGCCCAGAGGTTTTCTCCGGTAGCCCGGGAATTTTCTCCGGTAGCCCAGGGATTTTCTCCGGTAGCCCGGGGGTTTTCTCCGGTAGCCCGGGGGTTTTCTCCGGTAGCCCAGGGGTTTTCTCCGGTAGCCCAGGAATCTCTGGAGAGCCCCCTGAACCTCTCCGAGGAGGAGTTGGACTTGTTCACCCGCGCGCTTTGTGCCATCGATCTGCAGAATTTCGCTTTGCAGTAGCGGGGGTTTGTCCGCTCCCGCCTAAGTCGGGTTTTATCTCCCGTTCCCGGCCCCATTCCAGCCCCAAATCCGACCTAAAATAAGGGGGACTGCCCCCAAATCTGTCCTAAAAGAAGGGGGAGCGCCCCCAAAATCCGTCCTAGAAAATACGGGGTGCGTTCCCCAAAATCAACCCTAAAAGAATGGGGAGCGCCCCAAAATATCGCTCTGAAAAAACGGGGAGCGCCCCCAAAATCCACCCTAAAATAAGGGGGAGCCCTCCCAAAATCCGCCATAAACGACCGGGGAGCACTCCCAAAATCCGCCCTAAAATAAGGGGGAGCGCCCCCCAAATCTGTCCTAAAAGAAGGGGGAGCGCCCCCAAATCTGTCCTAGAAAATATGGGGCGAGTTCCCCAAAATCCGCCCTAAAATAAGGGGGAGCGACCCCCAAATCCGACCTAAAAAAACGGGGAGCGCCCCGAAATCTGTCCTAAAAGAAACGGGGAACACCCAAATCCGCCCTAAAAGAAGGGGGAGGGCCCCCAAAATCCGTCCTAAAATAAGGGGGACCCTCCCAAATCCGTCCTAAAAAACCGGGGAGCGCCTCCAAATCCGCCCTAAAAAAAAGAGGAGCGCCCCCAAATCCACCCTAATAGAAGGGGGAGCGCTCCCAATTCCGCCCTAAAATAAGGGGGAGAGCCCCCAAATCTGCCCTAAATAAACGGGGAACCCTCAAATCCGCCCTAAAATAAGGGGGAGCGCCCCCAAAATCCGCCCTAAATAAAGGGGAACCCCCAAATCCGCTGTAAAAAACCGGGGATCGCCCCCAAATCCGCCCTAAAATAAGGGGAACCCCCCCCAAATCCAGCTCAGGCCGTTTCTCGTTCAGTCTCCTCCTCCCAATTCCTTTTGAGACCCCAAATCGCCCCCACCCCAATATTTATTCTGGAAAGTTCACGCCTTTTTTCCGTTCTAAAAAAAAAATGGAATTTTGAATTTTTTTTTTGCTAAAATGCAGGTATTTCATGATAGTTTTATTTATTTTTATTTTTTTATTATTATTATTTATCTCTAAGGAAACCGATAGTTCTCACGCACGGCAGAGATGTCAACCCTCAAGAGGA